AGATGATCGTCCCACCATAACCCATGGTGACGCCGGGGAAGGCGCCGAACGGCATCTTGGTCTTCACCTCGACGACATACTTGCCGTCGCTCTTCACCGACGCGATCGGGAACAGCGAGGTTCCCATCTGGAAGCTCTTCGACGAGATGTGGAAGTTGTACGTGTATTCCACGTCCTCGGCGGTGAACTCGCCGAAACCTTTCTGCCACTTCACGCCTTCGCGAATCTTGATGCGCCAGGTCAGCGGATCGGGATTCGTCCACTCCAGCGCCATGTTCGGCATGATGGAGCGATCCTTGAAGTTGATCGTCACCAGCCCGTCGAACACATTGTACATGACCAGGCTTCCCTGGATGTCCGAGCGGATCACGGGGCTGAGATTGCCGAACTCGCCACCCCATGTGCCGACGCGCAGGTCGCGCCTGCCTTGGGCGATCGCCGGAGCGCCCAGCAAGAGTCCCGTCCCGAGCGCTCCCGCGCCAAAACCGCGCCGCGTGATGCCTCGACCGCCTGTCGTCCGGAACCCTTTGCTCATTGCCGTCTCCTGTGAATCAGAAACCTCTGTCGTATTCCTTCAGTCCGTTTTCGATGATCTGGTGCAGCACCGTGATCAAAGCGGCCTGTAATTTGTCCGACGTGCCGTCGACGTATGGGATGAGGCCTGGAATAGGCCCCGTCCATCGCGCCGCCATCGACGCTCGCCTGCACGATCCGAAGTTCTGTCGCCTCGTCGTGCAGGATCTCGCGGTCTCCCAGATGACCCGCGAGGGCTGCCGCGATGCCATAGGCACCCCAGTTCGACACCGCGGCGAAGACCAGCACATCACATTCAGTAACCGTGCCAACCCCGCCATGGCAGGGACAGCCGCAGTCCTTGCCGAAGGGCTGGATCTCGGCCACCGCCTCCTTGATGAGCCCACAGCCGATCTCGTTGCCGCCATCGCCGATGCCGATCGTAGGAATGCCTGCCGTCTTCGCCTGCTCCGCCAGATGGTAGGCGCTGGCGATCTTGTCCGGCGTGCGCGGCGTACCCATGATCGAGTGATAGATGCCCTTGGTGTTGGGCCCGACCTTCTCGATGAAAATCATCGCGGCAGGCTTGTACTTCTTGATCAGCGCGGCAGCCGCCTTCTTGCCTGCGGCCTCGCCCACCGGGAAGTTGACCGCCATGGCGCAGGAGCGGCGCTGCTTGAACAAAGCCTCGTCATAGACGGCTAGACCGGCGGCTTCGGTCGACTTGATCACAGCCGGCATGTTGCGTTCTTCGCTGATCAGGATCGGCTTGCCGCCCAGCCCGAACTCGATGGCGCGCGCGATCGCGGCCGCGCCCGGCGGGCCGTCGGTTTCGCCCGCAGGCAGGCCAGGCGGCGTACCGGCGCCGGTGATGACGAATACGTTGTGGCCGGGCTTGAT